TGCTGTCGGTAGGGTAACAAGGGCAGTTCACAAGAGAGACTTAAAATTCTGTCCCAGTGTTTTACGAGTACAGCAGTGGACATGAGGTAGAGGGAGTTAGGTGAAGCAATCTGGCCTCTGGAGAGGATTCTGCGCAGGTCTTAATAACCCATCACCAGACTGTCTATATAATACTGTAAATGTGTATGGAAGAGAGTATATACAATCAATGGCAGATAACTAACCATATATACTTATTTACCTGTCTCACAATGCAAATGTACCATTTTGGTCTTATATCAGTGAGGAATGGAAGTTGTATTTTGCACAGGTGGTATTTGTACACCTTTATGTAATTAGTGGCCACTAATCACGTAATTGACACCAAAATTAAAGCTAATTAGAGGGAGGTGCATGTCATTTGTTGTCTTCCGACCTCATTGGATCTAAGCAAGGTGAGTACATGTCTTCTGAGAGATGTCATAAATGTAGACAGAGTGAGAGTCCATTGATCCCATGTGACTTGCCACCTCGGCATACCCACTGTAGATGCTCACAATAGCCCACGACTCAGCCATGACCGACAACTCCACCCACGTGTCCAGATACACCTCTCTCGACTTTGACCTAAAAACTCCCAGAGTCGGTTTATTAGCCACGTGCACGGGGTCAATGTCAAGCATTGTGACTCTGGACCCGTACTCTGAAGCTGCCCAGATTTTTGGCTCTCTATCGTCTGACACCACCAGTATTCTACTCCCTTCTCCGAACCTCGAGTCAGACACATCAACTGCACATTTCATCATGTTTCGCCAAGATTCCTGGGTCCGCGCAAATCTGATTCCTTGCCAAAATTGAGAGTTGAAGAGAGACATCTCTCCAACTAAACTGTTCATAAATCCTGTGCGAATCTGAACTGTCACGAATCCGTGTGGCTGAAGCTTGAGTTGGCTTAGTTTAGAAATGGTCATATGTCGGACCTCCATTGGCAGACGGAACAGAAACTGGTGAAGTACAGTGACAAACGCGTGAAGACTTGCACTCTCTCCTGATTCTACCAAATACTGTAACAGTCTAAGATGTGATGGGCTAAGATTGGCGGATATCACAGACTCCAAAATGCTGTGCACAGTGCCAAGTACGTTTCCTTTGTGAGATATGTATATGTTGTCGGTGGTGTAGAGCCTGTCCAGCTCTAAACTAAAGTTTGTCGTCATCTGAAAGACCGTTTGAAAAAGGCTAGGTTCTCCAAAATACTCAATTGTCTGGCCGTGGACGAGTTCCACACACTTATGGACTGGTCTCCAGTCTATTGAATGCCGCTCTATAAACATAGTCCTCTGAACCTCGTCACTCTGGTAGATAAAGAAGGTTCTGTTGGTGACAAGGGCTAACAAGAACGCCGTGCACATCCCCATCACTCTGTCGCCAATTCCACCGCATTCTGAAACGCAGTACCAAGTCAGAGCCCTGGAGGTGGTTCCGACTGCAAACTGTATTCTCCTGGCTGCGTGATAGTGCTGGTAGGACCTGAGGATGTCTTGAAGTAACTGAGAGTACTTGAGGTTGGACTCGGGAGTGTTCACAGAGAATGGTTCCGAGGACTGGGCTCTCGAGAAGTTTACTTCTTGCTGTGAACAGAGCAGCGTGTTGTGGGAATACGTGGTGCTCCTCCGGCAGTACACCACTACCACGATACATAACGATACGACTAAGGTAACTCTCAATACAAGTAACTTGCTTTTTCTCATTCTCCTGCAGAGTAGGATGCGTGGCCGACCTGGACTTCAGCTTAGCTGCGGAAATGACGTCACCCGCAACTCCGCAACTTCGCAACTTCGCAACTTCGCAACTTCGCTGCACCATGTAGCTAACAACCAGAGCATGACCTAGCTGGTGCCCAGACCCTCAAAAAATAAGCGCACGCGCGTAAACGCATGCGCGAGAGCGGGAGAAGGCTATATATGCCTCTCCTCTCCACGGGCCAAGGAATTTCAATAACCACTTATCTCGAGTGGTTGCGGTTACACCCAACTGCGATGAATATCATAATACTAACGCGCGTGCGCGCACACGCGTGCTTCTTTGATGGACGGTACTTGCAGAGCCTGCGGAGCAAGCCTGCTTGACTCAAAAGCTCGTAGACCCCTGCAAGGGCTATCGTACAGTGCACTGTTTGACATCATTTCAGCAACGAAGGAAGTTGGAGCAGGCGAGGTGCACACATTTCTTCATAGTTATTGACCAGACCCTTCTCCCGCTCTCGCGCATGCGTTGACGCGCGTGCGCTTATTTTTGTGAAGGGTCTGGGCACCAGACTAAGCATGACCTGAGTGTATGTGTCTATATGATCAACACTGGATGAGAAGGCAACCTTTCTCCCTCCTGCAGTCCAGCCTACCGCCAGCAGCAGTATCTAATATAAATTGCATTCCTCCCGTACAAACCTATTCTCAACACACCTTTCCTTTAAAACACTCATGAAATTTACCTGTGTTGTATTCTAATTAATAGTTCCAGCAAACTTGTATTTGCATGGTGTAACTTAGCTAATGCGTTTTCAAAAAAAACAAACTACTCTCAAGCAAATGATTGAGGCTGTGGTGGTGAGAAGGTATGTGGCATGGACTATTCATAGTGTGTTGACTGTTAGCTACACCCCCTTGGATGGTTGGAAGAACTTGATGTGTTAGTATGCAGGCGTAGGTACAACTAATGTATAGTACGGAAAAGGATGGCCTGGATGATCAGAGATACAAAAAAATTACTGGGTAATTTTAACCCTAACAAGTCTGATTATGATGATGCCATCTTTCAAGTATTGGGTGTTGTTTTCAGCATTGTACTTCAGATCGGTTTGCGGTAGGAATTGATGATGACCCCATCCATTAGCCCTCTCCTTCTCAGTAACTCTGCTGGCAGTGTTGTCTGGTGTCTTGTCATTGTAGACGATTGACTTTTCGAAATGCCCGTGGCCACCAGCCTGGTTGACTATCTGGATTGTTATTTCTCCTCTGAATGGCCATTTGAGGTGGTCGTCAAACTGACCCTTCATCAGGTGTGTGTAGATTGACACATGAGTTCCTTTTCCACATCCATGCCCTTTTGTGTACACATTGATACACATCCGGTAACCACAGTACCAAAAGGAAGGCAATAACATCTTTTCCTTGTTTACAGGAAAAACAATTGGGAGTTCCCCCAAGTTTCTTTTTAGTTCATCTTTGAGATCCTTAGTTTTGTCCTCTGCAACTTTTAACTTATTTTTAAGCTCTTGACACTGCTTTTCCGTTGCTTTCTGCTTCAGTTCGAGCTGTTGATATAGCTTCTCTGTTACAACCTGCGAATCTAAAGCTTCAGATAGCCCTTGATATTCCTCTCTTGCTTTGTGTTCATGCTTTTGATACTTCTTGCATGTAGCTTTTTGTTTGCCTTCAAGTTGTTTATTGTGCTTTTTAAGCTTCTTAATTTCATTCTCTAGTAGTGACATATGAGCGAAAGTGTCTTCCATGTGCCCAGGCATGTCTTTGCGAGGCAGTCTCACCTCACATCCAGCATATACATAGCAGCAACTAACTTCTGTGAGGGGACATTTGTTTTTTAAATGGTCTTCAATGTCTTTCTGCTTGAAGGTTTCCTGCTGGCATTTATTTGGGCAGGTGACTGGGAATTGATGACACTGCCAGTAGTGATTTTCAGTCACGTCCTCATAAGTGGAATCATACTCCTGGCAGTATTCACAGGAGTAAGGTCGTTTCACGCACTGTTTGTTTTGGTGGGTGGCTATGTGGAAACGCTGGAACCACCCCCCACAGTTATGCTCACACTCTACCTCCACAAACCGACACCCAGTCAGCTGGTTCTCTGGAGATGAATCTTCGTTCAAGTGCTGTTCGTATTCTCCTAGTTTTCCCCTCCATTCACAGCCGTCCTTTTTCTTTGAGCACCACACCTCCTGCTCTCTCGGAGACCTCTCTAGTCCGTAGTCTCGCAAGAACGTAAACTCACTTTTGTTGCAAAATGGACACGGCTTGTTATCTCTCTTGATTTGCTCAACGCACTGGCGACAAATCTTCTTTCCACAAGGGCAACTAATCATACACGGTTCCTTCAGGATTTGAAGGCACACGGGACAGTCAGTTTGAAAAGCATCGGGAGGTTGTGTGACAAAGGTGCAACCATATCCACCTCTGTCATTATTTCTGCCTTCGCTGGACTTTGGAACCAACTTTTCTTCGGAGTACGAGAGCTGAGAGGCATGCTTAACAACATCAGCCTCCATAGAACAATTATCATCTATTGTTGTTATCTGTTGTACCATTGACTTATCATTAGAACTGTTATCATTGAAAACGATTACTTGCCCTATGTGTAGTTGGGTGACTCCATACTCTATGAACATTGCTTGAGGGATATTGCTGTTTTGCAGTAGCAGTTCGATGACTGATTCTGGCACCCAGAAGGTAACAACAAAGGAATCTTTTTGAACCTCATTTCGTAGCAGGAAAGCAAAGTCGCGAAGTTTATAGTGATTTCCATATTTCTGTCGGAAATCTTCTATATCCTGCAGAGTTAACTTTTCCGATGCCAACTTTGGTTTCACTTCTTTAAATCTCGCAACGATACTGGCAAATCCTTCTGGTGGGTCAGAGTGCTTTTTGTCGGTCTGGCAAAACAGATCAAGCGGCGTCTGTGTTCTAAACTCATGAAGTCTTATCATGTACGCTTCGATATCCCCTTTCATTCCCTCAAGATGTGGAAGCTTGATGACGAGGTGTTTCAGGAGATCAGGGGAGAGGTATGTCCAGTAGAGATTGAGGTCACCAAACAATGCCATATTATCTTTACTCTCTCTAAGCTTATCCAAATTCTCTTTCAGGAACATTTTGTGCTGACCAATTTCATTTGCAGGCAAAGTGCTAAGCTCATAAACTACATTTTTGACTTCGACACGACTGACTTCAAGTAGCTCTATAGTTTTTCTCTTTAGTTTATCAAACATTCTTTCAAGTGCATCAATGCTAGCCTGAACTTGTTTAACTGCACCTATATAATTATGCAGATGGTAATGTGTCATTGTGCACATATTGTAGAGAAATACATACCATGAAGTTCCTTCAGTTGACCCTGCTTTGGATCAGTATTTAGTGCACCTATAGCAGTAGATTATACCTAATTTGAAGTGCACGGAATTATGCAGCTATTGTCTCACCAGGTACAAGGCTCAGTTGAGAGGATGCCTTTGAATTGACCTCATCATCATCACCAGTAAAAGTGGTGGCTGCTGACTCTGTGTCTGATATAAACATGACTACACCAGTTAGACAAGAGTGGAACTGATGGTGACATACCAGTAGTCTCAGGTACCACGTCACATGTTGAGGTAGGAGGGTCAGGGAAATGAGATGCTTCAACTCTTCTAGCTAGCGTTGGTACGTTGACTGCAGGACTCCTCAGAGCTTCCACAATGACCCTCCATGTCGGCCTGGGCTCCGCTTGCTGTAGGAACTTGATTATAACCTTGAGCAGATATTTGTCGGGCGGCAATTCCTTGGAGTGGATCGCCTCCACGACATGCTGGGGCAGTTTAAATTTGAGCCCCAGCTCGTAGGACTTGTTCTGAGCTGGCAGTAGCTCCTCCAATACGTCCACGGTATCGTCTGGCGTCAGCGACTCATCATTAACAGCGGGAACTAGAGTTGGAGTTGAGTAAGATAAGTATTACTTCTAGCTGGCTTGCTACACCTACCATTAGCCATTTCTACAGCTAGAGAATGGGAGAAAAAAGTTTTACCGTAGCGGTTGGGTGGGGCCGGACGTTACACGCACGACCCCGCAGATTAGACTACGCGACGAGTCGACTTCGGTGGCGGGTTGGAACACCCGGCCCCTTTTTGTCGTTTTGCGTGCATGCGTCGCCGGCCTCGTTCTGACAGCGCGAGTGGAACCCTCCCCACCTTTGAAATAGATCCGCCTAGCCTATAACCAGACTGGTCGTGGTGTAATTCCAGCTTAGGTATCAGGATTGCCTGAACATTATCGAGTAAGAGTGTAGAAGATCCATGTGGCACACACACTATACTCAGGGGAATAAAAACATGGGGGAGACATGGCTCTCCGTTCATACCTCACATAGCGGGATTCCTAATTTTGACACTCCTCACACCCCATACTGTCTAATATCAACTATTCCCCACACCTTTTATTCCCCTGAGTAGCGTGTGTGCCACATGGATCTTCTACACTCTGACTAATATCAACTACTGGAGCTAGAATACATACACATGTAACGACAAGCCATCATCAGCTTCCGCTGGTGTCTCCTAAGTGGGGACGTATCAAAGGAACTGAGAGTCCCCTGTGTGAATTCCCCTGGTATGACAGCAATTTAAACAGTCCATTCAGTGATGCTACTGACTATACCACCCCCTACACTTAAATGCCTAGGTCTCTCCAGTATATAGCTGTTGGTACTGCTGTACCGTATAGCACTGAGTTGTAGTTATAGACGTACAGCTGTAGCTACCACCAACAGCTACACTCTGACTGGTCTTACTAATCGAGAGACCCAGTCACCTACTTTAGGTAGTTAAGTTGATCTTCTTCCCAATGATTATCTCTGTATTCTGTGACATTTCTGGTCAACTACCAGTCTCGACTCTACAGCAACTAGCTAGCTAGTTACTACCATCTCCCTTTTAAACTCTGATGCCTGGAGGTATAGGGGTATTATGGTCTGTGATGATGGCCACATGATGGCAACAGCTGTGCAAAATTCGGCTTCTTTTTTCCAGCATCACTTGTTCATTCCCTATATAGTAAGATAATGGTACTTGCTGGCTTCCTTGCCAGTACTGCCAATCCACCATGTCAGCATTATTGAATCAAGTTCGGCTTTTGTAGTATCCCTAAACACTGGCATAATATTTAGACTGGTTTGAGCCTATATAGAAAAATCCGCTCGAACAAACGACTATGTTGGCTCGCTCCCGCTCGCCAATAAGTGAACGAATAATTAGTGCATAAGAGACAAAATGTATCTGATAAGACATTGTTATAAAATCTGCACCGTTTGCGCATACGTTAACCGGTATAGTGTGTGTCAGATTTTGCTACAAGATGTACAAAAGAGTATTGCAACGAAATTTAATAGTCTTATGCGTCGTGCATGTGTACAGTTACAAAGTCATTTAGATGCCACTTGTGGTGCAGTCAAGGGGGAATCCATCTTCGAGCAGGCAAAGGAAAACGTTCACCACCATACAATAGACGCAGTTCTCCTTGGGTCATAAAACTGGGGAGAGTACTAAGGTAGCAGGAAATAGCCCATTTATCGTCAATTTCTGCCTGAGGCTGCAGGTATTGTCGAATAGTGCGCTCAACTTGGCTATAAGCAGCCGTGTAGACTTTACAGGTGGCAGCAGTGGCTGGGTTATAAAAGACCTGTAATGTGCACGCGCTGCGCATCATGAAGTTTAGCACAGTGACGATAACTTCATACTGATCTAGAACGCTCCTCCTGCAACGCTTGCAGAGCGCTGCTGCATTCTCAGATATGTAATGGTGCCGTTATCCAGCGTAGTGTCGGGCCGTGCGATAAAAGACTTCTGCTTGATCCCTTGCAGCAGCACTGGCTGCTGTTGTATACTCTTTTTAGGCTGCCATTTTCTATGACAATAAGGAGGGAGGAAAGCGCTATTGTTAGCTCTCGGCACTTCTCCTGAATGGCGAAAATGGGAAACGTGGCAGTAGACCGTGGCGTGCCACACTTTTCAATGGAATAGGAGAGGAAGTAGGAGAAAATAGAACACCCAAGTGTGTCAACACTGGAAGATACCTCATTGGCCATACATGAAGCAAACGCATTGTACCCAATAGGTAAACACCTACTTTCGACTACTCCCGCAGCGAAGTAACAATCGACAATAAAGATCACATATTTGGCATTACATCCCTCAAGCCACTCTTGTAGCATGTTCGCTGTGATGCAGGTATCCTGATGTCTATCTCTGTCGTAGTCACTTGGAGCTAAAGCAAATTCGTTGCCGGTTCCGTGACCTGAGAAGTGGATAAAGTAGGCGCCACTTTTCCCGACATTACTAGCCATTCTTCTTATCTTTCTTTCCATGCCTTCCCGGGTGCAATCACTGGGATTTGCGCTTGCAACATAGATCCTAGAGTTTTCCTCTGGGAGCACAGAGATATTCTCCAGGGAAGCAATAATCTTGTGGGCATCGTTTATGACCGAGTTGTCTAGCTGACACTTCCTAACACTATGCGATACCTGCTGATTGATGCAGAATGCGACCATATAACTCTCTTTCGGGTCATATGACAGCTCCGGATCCTGGTCTAACTGCAGCTCATTCGAGATTAGGTTTCCGGAGAGGAAGGAGTTGTGTAACTGTATTAGATTTCCCATCAGCTTTCCTTGAAGCTTCTTTTTTTATTAGGTAAACTCAGAGTCTACAGTGTTTATTTACAGCTAGAGAATCGTAGTGGTTGGGTGGGGCTGGACGTTACACGCACGACCGCGACTAACGTGACGAGAGTACGGAAGCCGAGAAGTACGGAAGCCCATTGGGGCCATTCTATACTTCCGTTCTACACGAACTTCCATTCTCCCATAGCTTGAATGCGCATGTGCAGACGCAACGATTGCGCATGCGCCCCCATTGAGAGAGCTCTCCTCCATTCGACGGCATTCGCTGCGCTCTGTGGTGCCTTGCCTTTCTTTGGAGTTGGGCGTCATTTGCGGTTTAACCCTTAGCAAGCCACAGGCATATATATTAGCCTGAATTATGTCAAGAGCCTCCATAAGTCCATAAGGATTTAGCTATATCTCTAAGTACGGTAGTACTTAGTTGATGGGAATGACACAGGTTGTCCTGCATTATGCCCATACATTTGGGATTTGTGTACGTTTCACTTTCAGTTTCAATCAGATCTCACTTCTGACATAGCTACAAGTCTGATCTGTATGGTCAAAAAGAGCATGTCCTTAAGAAATTGCGTAAATTCGCATAATTGGTAGTAATTGATTTATTCAAGAAAGCCAATTTTCTAAATTCTTGTTGTTGTTGTCGTTCAGTTTCAATAAACGTATCTCAAAAACAAGTTAAGATACTGAAATCAAACTTTGCACAGAGATTGGAATCCATGACAGGTCGTGCAAGAGCATTTTAATTTGTTTAGCTACAACAAAAAAATAGCCCCAGGGCATACATTATGACAGAGACCAATAAAGTGTGTTAATTAGGTAAAGCAAACACCCACAATGATAAAACTTATTTAAACACATGCAACTCATCGTTAGTATCAAAATTTAAACATTACACGTTTGTGAAAACAACAAACAACCTCAGGCAATAAAAACTTTTAAATTGTGTCAGTGCCTATAGCTTGCTCCTCTCACAATAAAACTTGGTGCACTGATGTAATGTGAATGATGACAAAACGTCTGAGGCAATATCTTAAGGCCACTAATTTTTTATGGGCTTATGCCCAAAATTGCACACCCTGCATGTGAATGCTGTCAAAAAAGGAAAGGAGACAAGTAGCTAAATAAACAATTCTTCGAATATTGGAATATAGGGATGACATAAAAAGGAGACAAGACAGGGATGACCTATATATATAGTTCATTCTTGCTCGTGTGAATTTTACTCCCTATATTGTCGCAAAACACGAGTGATCTCTATCGTATGATGTGCAGCTATGACTCGTTTCCTATGCATGTAAGACTGGTATATAGCAAATGCTCTCTCTGACAAGTCTTCAGTTTTGAATTGTGACTGTGTTTACTTAAATGTTCGCTTAACTAACCAGTTTTACAATGCTGCTTTCTCTACAGAATTTGTTTGCGAGTCTTCTCACACTACATTAATCTAAATTCATGTCATGAGTACGAATGGCGACAATATTATATAGGGCTTGTGTGGAGTAAAATTCACACGAGCAAGAATGTCAGTTTCAAGATGTAACCATAATCGGCCAATTGCACTAATGCATCACATGAACTAGGTCATCCCTGTCTTGTCTCCTTGCTTTTTATGGCAATTTCTGCTTATTCAAAAAGATACCCATGGTGTCCAAAGGGTTACCCCGGTCTGCTCCTACATACTGAGTGAGAGTGTACTGTGCCATAGCACAGTGGTTTGAAATGTTCCTTTGTGTTGTGTTGTGTTGTAGATTCGAACCCCTACCAGCGGAGTTGCCCTGGTAACTCAGTTGGTAGAGCACTCGCCTAGACTGCAGAGTGTCGTGGGTTCGAATCCCACCCAGTGCAACTCTTCTTCTTTTCTTTGTTAGCCAAAAAAAGGGTTGGGCCAGGGTTGGTTTGTCCAGATCAGCTCAGAGGATATTTGCTTGGTGAATGATCAGGATAGGTTACCAATCATTGCGTCTGCACATGCGCATTCAAGCTCTGCGCAATATGGAAGGATGGAAGGATAGAAGAGTGGAAGAAATGGCAGGATAGAAGAATGAAGTTCGTGTAGAACGGAAGTATGGAATGGCCCTTCTCGGCTTCCGTAGAGGAGACTATCAGAGGGTATTGTATAACCCGACTGGTTGTGGTATAATACCAGCTTAGGTATCAGGATATGCCTCAACATCATCAAGTAAGTATGGGGTGTGAGGAGTGTCAAAATTAGGAATCCCACTTATGTGAGGCATGAAGGGAGAGCCACGTCTCCCCCACGATTTGATTCCCCTGATTAGCGTGTGTGCCACATGGATCTTCTCATGCTTGCGTGAGCAATGACTTTCAGCACTTGTTTCAGAGGC